CCAGCCACCTAGGCTGGCCTCAGGGCCTTAGTATGAGCAGCAGTGCATTGAGGTGGTGCAGCTCCATTTCAGCCCCACCTCTCTGCAGCACCTGCCTGGCATGGGAGACTGAGGGCCCGGCCTTGGTGGGCAGGGACTGACAGGGGGATGGGGAAAGGGTGTGCCCTCTGGCCTCCAGCCTGCAAGACCTCCTGGTAGCCTCTCCTTGAGATGGGAAGGGGCAGGCCTGGTACAGCAGTATGCAGGGGCCCTGGCCTGGGAGAGCAGGCTGCTGGCTTCCCACCAACACAGTGCATCCTTGACAGGGCATCCATGGGACCTGTTGACCCACTTTTCCCACACCTGTGTCTCGGGCTTCCGGGCCGGGTGCCACAACATGACCATGTTACTTGCTGGTCCTCCTGCCACATAGACCTGGCCTCTTTGTGGGGCCCCTCTCAGCTCACCTGAGCCCTTCCTCTGATGAGAAGGTCTCTTCTGTGCTACATTTCTACCTTGTGCTTTACCAAATCCCAGGCCTGCCCCTCTCCCACCAGTCCTGGTCCCCAGACACTCCTGGCCTCATTCCCACTTGTTCTCACTGTACATAGGTGTGTATGTGTTTGTGTGTACGTGTGCATACATGTATATATGTGTGTTGTGCATATATGTGTATGTATTGTACATGTGTGTATATGTGTGCCTGTGTGTACGTGCATATATGCACATGTATGTGTGTACATATATCACAGTGTGCTCAGGCTGCTATGACAGAATGTTACAGACTGCATGGCTTAAATGACAGAAATTTATTTCTCAAATTTCTAGAGGCTGGAAGTCCAAGATCAAGGTGCCAGTAGATACGGTGTCTGGTAGGGGTTGTCTGGGCTGTCTTCCTGGTATGCAGGTGGTCATCTTGTATTTTCACATGGCCAAGAGCAGAGGGCTCTCTGTGGTCCCTTTCCACTCGTGAGAGCTCCAGTCTCATGATGTAATTATCCCCTAAAGGCCCCACCTCTGAATGTTATACCTGTGCCTGAACTATTTTTTATTTTTTTCCATGTAAGCCTTCTTGCACCACCTTTCTTCCATGTCTTTTTTTTTTTTTTTTTGAGACGGAGTTTCATTCTTGTCGCCCAGGCTGGAGTGCAATGGTGTGATCTCAGCTCACTGCAACCTCCACCTCCCGGGTTCAAGCGATTCTCCTGCCTGACCCTCCTAAGTAGCTGGGAATACAGGTGCCCACCACCACGCTTGGCCGATTTTGTATTTTTAGGAGAGACGGGGTTTCTCCATGTTGGTCTGGCTGGTCTCAAACTCCCTACCTCAGGTGATCCACCTGCCTCAGCCTCCCAAGGTGGAATTACAGGCATGAGTCACTGTGCCTGGCCCTCTTCCAAGTCTTAATATCACTTTCAGCTCTGGGGTTTTTAGAAATTCAGCATGCTGTACTCTGTCCTTGTCAGTATCCTTCACCTGAGGATTTCAACAAATGAATTTTGGAAGAGGACGGATGAACATTCAGATCATGTGGTGGAAATGTGTACATTTGTGTATGTTTATAAGCATGTGTGTGTGTATGTACTGTATATATACAATTCAAAAATTTTCGTGGTTTGTTTGCTTGCTGAATGCTTTGGAAGTGAGCTGTAGGCATCACAAACTTCTCCCCTAAGCACTTTAGCAGCAAACATTGTCCATGTGACCCCAATATAATCATCCTACTAAGGAAATTAACATTGATCCAATAAGGGCATCCAATGTCAGGTCCATATTCGAATATCCCCAGTTGACCTTTATCTCCTTAATCTCTGTGACTCCTTCTTTTCTTTGTCTAACATCATGTGTTGTTGTTGTTGTTGTTGTTATTTGTTTGTTTTTGAGATAGGGTCTCGCTCGGTAGCCCAGGCTGAGTGTAGTGGAGCAAACACAGCTCACTGCAGCCTTGACCTCCTGGGCTCAAGAAATCCTCCCACCTCAGCCCCCCATGTAGCTGGGTCCACAGGCATGCACCACCACACCTGGCTAATTTTTGTATATTTGGTAGAGATGGCTTTTGCCATGTTGCCAACACTGGTCTCAAACTCCTGAGCTCAAGGCCTGCCTTAGCTTCCAAAAGTGCTGGGATTACAAGTGTGAACCACCATGCCTGCCCTATTTTAAAAATTTTCCCATGTAAGCCTTCCACCACCACCATTCTTCTATGTCTTAATACCACTTTTGACTCCGGAGTTTTTACAAATTCAGTGTGCTGCACTCTGTCCTCTTCGGTACCCTTACGGCACTTGTGTGTGGCAGGCTCCCGTGGCCCTCCAGCAGATCACCATTGGTCAGGTGGATGCCAGCACTCCCCTTGTGCCTTCTTTGCCCATCTATTTCTCCAAGGAATCCTGCTGCCTTTCAGTAGAGGATTGTTCAGGAACAAAATCCAGGCGCTAGTTGAACCCCTTATGTGTGGGATGGTTCATCCCATCTCCCAAGCCCCCGACATGTCATGTGAACTCAAAGATATGTTGACTTATTGAGTGAACACAGAGAGGAAGTGATGGAGACAGCAAAGATGCTGTCTTTAAATATGCTGCAAAGGCCTAGCATCTCAAACAGTCCTTGCACTCCTGGTCCCTGGTCCCTGTTCCCTGACACCAGTGTCTTCGGAGATGGCCCCTGGTGTCCCAGACTCCCCACTTCATTGGTTGGGCCCTGCCTTCATGGCAGCTCTGGGTGCTCTGTTTTAGTGGGGCCCTTCTTGTCCTCCTGCACGTGGTTCTGGGGAACTCTGTTTTTGGGGGCCCTTCTCCTGCACACACCAGCTGTGAGCAGGCTCTTTCTTCTGGGAGGTCCCTGTGCAACCCAAGGGCAGCAGCCTGGCCAGGACAGCCTGGCCCACCCCTCCATGTGCAGCACCTAGGGAAGGCCTGGCACTTACGGGTTAAAGGTCAGTCCTGCCTTCCTCCTCCCTTCACTGACAGAGCATGATGATGGAGAGATCTCTGCGGGCACCGAAGCCATGAGGAAGTGACCCTACTAGCTCACATAGCCAGTGATGATGGCTCTCATGGGTGAGGGCTCCTCATGAGCGAGGGCTCCCAGAGAATCTAGGCTCACTGTGAGTGTGGTTTGCTGGGGCCAGCCCTATTGTTTTCCCTTGCAAGCTCTGAGGAGGAGGCCGGGATGGAGGGAGCTAAGTCATATCTCCAGGTCCCACCTTCAGCTTGGCCAGCCTGACGGCATGGGTTGTCTCCTTGACCATATGTATCCGTAAACCCATCACCTAGATTCAGCAAGAATTTGGCCACACTTCTGTCTTCCTCCTTTATTCCCTTCCTTGCCTCACTCCCTGCTTGTTCTCACTGTACATATATGTGTACGTGTGCATACATGTATATATGTGTGTTGTGCATACGTGTGTATGTATTATACATGCACAACACACACATATACGTGTGCATGCATGTATATATATGTGTGCTGTGAACTAGGTGGGGCTGACCCCAGGTCAGGCCTGGGCCTGGGGCCCCTGGGCTCCTGTAGAAACCCAGGCAGGAGAGGTAATAGACCCCTCTCTCTGGCTTGCCCAGGACCCAGCCTGCCTCCTATGTCCTGCTGGAGCACATGCAGAGAGGACCCCCCCATCCAAAATGTCTCCGCTGTATCATGGACTCTCCCAGCCTCCAGGGCTGTGGCCTTGTGTCCTTGAGGCTCTCATCTGGACTTGATCCGATTCGAGCCACTCCTCAAACGCAGCCACAGAACTCTGGAGGTTGGTGGTGTTTCTCATACAGATCCTTTCTTCTTGCTGTGTAAGCTCAATCATTTGATTTTCGTCTTTCTGCTGAGACCCTTGGCCTGGTGGGCTAACTGGATTCCTCTGGACCCCCAAGACAGTAGCACAGCAAGGGGCAGAAAGTGTTTGGAGAACAGAAATCCTAGCTAGAGGCATTTTAGACAGATTTTCTCAAACGTGAAAAAGAATGTGGAGTCGGGGAATCTAAACCCCTCTTTCAAGTTACCTTGTGTGTCACATTCGGCTTTTATGTTGCTAAAAGATACTTTTCAAAAAAGGGAAAAATCATGACTCTTTTATATAATGGGTACAAAGTGAACAAGGGGCAAGAGATTTAATTTAACTTGAGAGATATCAGGCTCAAACCAAAGAGCAGACACAGGAACAGGTTAGAAACGATGAAAGCACTGTATGAATGGAGCAGAACTGTCTCCTCTGCATGAGAGGAAGGGCACATCCTGTGTGCGACAGGGGCTGGAGCTGGGTGCCGACAGGCGCTGGCCATTGGCACTCCTCCCAGCGGCTCAACAGGCCTGTGTGACTGCACAAGCCAAGTGCAGTTCCCTGGAGCTGCAAGGACGTGGCCAGGTGTGTGAGTTCCCACACAGCCGTCTTCCTGGGGTGCCTGACGGCCAACATTGTAGACCCCAAAATGACCAGCAAAACTGCATGATCTGTGGTGTGCGGCAGCCATGAGTGGACACAGAGTTGAGTTCCTCCGCGGGGTGGTGACTGTCTTCCAGGGACATAATGTTCTAAACACCACTGACCTAGAGCAGTGTTCGCACGGGCCCCACCCCTTCCACTCACTCCCTTTACACTGCCTGTAACCACACCTTTGCCGCCGCCATACCACCAAAACTGGCCCGGGCCTAGGCAGCCTCTAAGCTACCAGACTCCCACAGGCTCAGCTCCTGATCTCGTCCCCATGAGCAAGGCTAGCAACACCTCTGAAGGGAGTCAGCCCCAGGAGATCTGGCCAGTGTCCCCAGAACCTAGTGGAGAGGCCTTTCCTGGCCCAGAGATGCCACCATGGCTGTGTGTTCTCACTGGAGGTCAGCTCCCTGTTGAGTTCACCTGGCTGGACTTTCCCATCCACCTGGACATGCTTATCGCCATGTGGGGTTTCCCTGTTCCTGGGCAGCTGCCCTGTCTTCCTGGAGAGCCCAGGGATGAGGCCTCCGTGTTTGCTTTGTTCCTCCCACAGGAGCCCGAGACAGATACACAGACAGAAACATGAAGCTAAGCGAATTTTTTAATTAGCAGCCGGTAGAAGGCATCATGCACTCTCTGGATCCATGAGAGATGGTTTCTGCGTAGCAGACTTGGGGCAGTCACTCCTGGCAGCAGGGGCTCTTGGGGGAATGTCTCTCACTGAGGGAGGTCCTCTGCAGGGGGGCATGGGGAACTCAGATGCCGTACAGAGCCCAGCCAGGGTGAGGTGGGGAGGAGGGAGGCCACCCGCTGTCCATTGTTCAAGTGCTAACGTGTTCACACCCACAGGCCCAGGGACCTGAGCTGCTAGCCCCTTTCCTGTTGTGCAGGGGAGCAAGCAGAGCCCTGCGTTCCACTGGCCTTTCCCCCAACCCTCACCATAGCCTGCAGGCAGGTGGGCGAGGCCACCCTCATCTGCCAGATAGGAAGTCCAGGTCATAGGTGGGCTTGAACAGTTAGCCCAGAGCCCATGTTTGGGACGCCTAACCTAGAGCCCTCCCAATATTTGGGAGGCAAGCTGCTCTCTGCAGTGAAGTGGCAGAGGCACAGGCTTTGCACATAGGCAGAGCAGCACTGGACCTGCCAGTCATTTGCCACCCTGAGCCTGTTTCACTCACTGACATGCCCTCCCAGCCTGAGTGACTTCCTTGAGTGCCAAGGGGCCTGCAGCTGGCATAGTCTGGGTTGGTGTACAGAGTCCCATCTGCCCCCAGGGCCAGCTCACGGACTGCACCCATCTTCAAGGCCCCACTGAAGGCCCAAGCTGGATTGGGGAAGCTCAGGGAGAAAGGGAACACATACCTGGGACAGGGTCCAGACACTTCATGGCACAGCGGCTGAAGCAGCACTTCTTGTTTCCCCGACACTGGCTGTCCATGGAGCACTCACTCTGCTCTTTGCAGAGCTCTGGGCTCACTAGGGGCTGTACCCAGGGGCAGCTGCCAATCTTTGGGGTCAATACTAGGGGAGAGACGGGCCAGCCCTTCATCACCCAAAGCGCCTTTATGCTTCCCAGCCTTGCTGGGCCCACCTCCCTGGGCCCCCGATGCCAAAAATACCCATTTATAAATAGGGAAGTTGGGCTGGGTGCAGTGGCTCATCCCTGTAATCCCAACACTTTGGGAGGCCAAAGTGGGTGGATCACGAGGGCAGGAGTTCAAGACCAGCCTGGCCAATATGGTGAAACCCCATCTCTACTAAAAAAAAAATATGAAAATTAGCCAGGTGTGGCTGAGTGCACCTGTGGTCACAGCTACTCTGGAGGCTGAGGCATAAGCGTCGCTTGAACCTGGGAGGCAGAGGTCGCAGTGAGCTGAGATTGCGCCACTGCCCTCCAGCCTGGGCAACAGAGAGAGACGTGGTCTCAAAAGAAAAAGAATAAAAATAAAAAATAAATAAGTAAATGGGGAAGTTGAGCCTCTGTTCTGCCCTGGGGTCAGATGCATCCCTGGGGCCTCCCTTCCGCTGATCTCAAGGCAAGAAACCCCCTACCCTCCTTGGAGGCCTGGACCACAGGACAGAGGTGGGTGAGCGTGGCCAGCCTCAGGCAGTTTCCGGCAAGTGAAGGGGGCTCACATGCAGGGCGGAGTGTATGGGGCAGTTGTGTGGGTGCTAAGAGGGTGGTCCCAAGTGTCCAGCTCAGGAAGATCCTTGAGAAAGCGCGTTCCTCCCTCCCCTGACAGATAGGAGCCAGGCTGTCACCATGGGTACAGGGCCAGGTGGGGCGTTACCGATGGTGGGGGTTTTGCAGGAGCGGCCGCAGGCGCTGGGGCAACACTTGCTGTTGCCAAGACAGTCGTTGTCGGTGAGGCAGGTTTTGACGCAGGGCGCCTCCTCCGAGGAGCTGGCCTCGGGGCACACTGCCTGCTCTGCGCACAGGATGGGCAGGTGGGTGGGGGTCCAGGCCCCACCCCCAGACCCCTCAAGGGACAGCAAGGTAGAGGCAATGAGGAGCCCATCCCTCAACAACCCAACACGATGTTTCTTAGAAGGCCAAAAAAAATCTACCAGAAATGTGACAGACCTGATCAAAGCATGGGAAGTCAGCTGTGAAAGTTAGGAAGCAAGGCCACAAGCCCACTGCAGGTGGTGGGACGTTAAGACCCTGACCAGACATGGCTAGGGCCTGAGGACAGCCCCCACCCTCCGCTGCCACTTCCCCATGTCCTGGCTGCCCTGCTCGCTCCCAGGCCCAGGCGTTTCTCATCTGGGGATAGCTGCCTCCATGTGTATATACAGCCCTGCTTTTCTGCCATCTCTGGACTCCCCCCACAAGGGGTAAGCCTCCTCCCTTTCTCTCTTCCCGCTTCCTATCACCAAACCACCAGGACCTGTAGTTCCACTACAGGGTCCCACTGGAGGCAGAGATCAGGCAGGAGGACCCTCCTGGGAGTGTCCCCTAGAGACTTACCTGGCGAGATGAAGGCTGGGACCACAGCCAGTGTCACTTCCAGTGCAAGCAGGGCTAGGGCCAGGCTGAGGAGGCAGCGCATGGTGGTGTGTGGCAGGCAGGCAGCAGATGGTGGTCTGAGGACCGGGGTACATTTAAAGGACCGGGGTGGGAGGAGGGCCTTGGGGTGGGGCAGCGGGGAGGACAGGCTGGCATGGCCCCAACTGGGCTGAGGCACTTCCTCCTTGGATGCCTGAAGAAGCCAGGCCCAGTCTTGGGGAAACGGCTGAGAGGCCTGGGGTGGCCGCCATACTGAGGGCCATTTTTGAAAAAGGAAGTCCTTATTAGGTTGACCACTTTTTCCCCATTTTGAAAGCCATGCATGTTTATTAGGAGAATTGATAAAATGAAGGACAGAGGAAGGAAGAAAAAGAACGGATATTAAACGCGGGTACAGCAGTTACTTTTAAATGGTTGCATAGGGGCCCCTCAGGGACAAAAGAAATGATGTGTCCCAAAGTTATACAACATCACCTATTAATCAAAATAGGAGGGAGATAGCAGGCGCAGGGATGCTCTCAGAGGGTGTTTTGCTGCTTTTTTTTTTTTTTTGTAGTTTTCTGGGCCTTCTATGAGAAGGAGCTGCCTTCTGCTTCTGTGCTACAAGCTCCCTGCGGAGAATGTCGGGCATCGGATGAGGGACGTGCCAGGCTCTATATCGGGGGTGTCTGTGTAGGGCAAGCACTAGGAAGGCCTCTTCCCAGAAGGGACCCTCCTGTGCCAAGTGAGTGGGTGCCACAGGGCAGGGGTGGGTGTGTTGCCAGGGCGCCATGCCCCCTCTGCTCTGGGGCATTTCCTTTATCCTCTTGCCTGGAGGCCTTGGATAGGGAAGCGGCCCTGGGGACTGTGGAACCTGGACATCTGCCCTGAAGACCCCGGGTGACCACGTGCTGCCTGACGGCTGGTGCTTAGTCCCTGATCGAGGCTGCACTCCTGTCCAGCTGGGGACCCTCACAGAACCCCTTAAAGCTTCCCCTGGGACCCTCTGCTACTGAACATCAGGATGTTCCAGGCCAGAATGTTCTGCTACTTCAGCAGGGCTGTGATGTGTCTCCTCTGTGTGCCCATGGCATGACATGGCTCCATCACGGCCCTCACAGCCCCTCTGCAGAACAATGGGTCCCAACCCAGCGCCTCCTGGGGTGGCCAGCATGGACACACTGGTGTGGTGACTTGCCACCTCTTGTGCCTCTCCATGGCTCGAAGTTTACACAATGCTTCATATAGGCTGTCCCACCCTCCTGGTAAGGGGGCTATGCACAGACCAGAGACCTGGTGGAGACCAAGCTTGGGGAAGCGAAGGTGGCAAGGCCACAACTGCTCACTGGCAGTCCCTGGTGGCCCTTTTCTCTGTCTCTGGCCCTTCCTACCTACACCATGAATGGGTTTGGCTAGAAGATCTGAGTCCATCTCAAGCCGATGCTGGGTTGAGGCGAGAGCGGATCCATCTCAAGAACTCAGATCCCTGCCACAGACAAACACTATGCAACCCCCACCCCCACCTAGTCCCCTCTTCCTTGACAGCACAGAGGGGCACTTCCTTCGCTAGCATCTCCCATCTCCAGAGGGTGCCCCAGAGCTAACTATGCCATTTTCAGGGCACCTTGTTCAACAAATGGGAAAAAAGTACTGGTAAACGTACAAGAATAAAAAGATATGTTTCTCTTCCACAGTCTCTCTGACTTGTCATGATGCTTTTCACAATGTGTCAATTTAAGTAAATAAAAATAAATATTTCTTTGTATGAACATGAGTGGCACGAGTCATTTTTATGCTGTGCAATGCCAATTCAAAGGTAAACACAAGAGCACTAAGCCCTTAGGCAGAATCACCCAATCACACAATTCTTGCCTTGTAGTTCACATGGGGCACATGTATACCTCAGTGCCAATGCTACACAAAACTAACTCAACTGCTTTTCCACTTATTTTTTTCTCTTATTTGTTTTTATTTAGTATTTTTGGATCCATCTCTTGTTGTGAGGAAACAGCTTCCTCTTAAGCAGTTTTACTCTTCTAACACAAAGAATCAGTTGACTGAATGTGTCAGACTGAATTTTCCCTCCATTACATCAAAATTGCTGTAACCAACATCGTGGCCAGACACCCTGAGCACCGCAGGCCTGCCTCACTTCTTAGAGTCGTTCATGTCTATATGAACTTGTACATTAATGAGGATAAAAAGTTGGCTGGGTGCGGTGGCTCACGCCTGTAATCCCAGCACTTTAGGAGGCCGAGGCAGGCAGATCACAAGGTCAGCAGTTCAAGACCAGTCTGGCCAGCGTAGTGAAACCCCATCTCTACTAAAAATACAAAAAATAAGCCAGCTGTGGTGGTGTGTGTCTGTAATCCCAGCCACTCGGGAGGCTGAGGCAGGAGAATCACGTGAACCTGGGAGGTAGAGGTTGCAGTCGGCCGAGATCGCACCATTGCACTCCAGCCTGGGGGACGGTGTGAGACGCTGTCTCAAAGAAAAAAAAGGAGTCGCATTCTTTATTTTTATCTCATTTTAATTTTTTATTGAGATGTAATTCACATGCCATAAGATTCACCCCTAATTGTAAAGTGTACAACTGTTTTTTAGTACATCCAAAAGGCTGAACCATCTCCACCTCTAATTCCAGAACATTCCATCGCCTTAAAAAGAAACCTAGTACCCACTAGCAGGTATTTTCTATTTCCCTGTGTTCCCAGCCTCTGGCAACCGCCGATCAGCTTTCTGGCTCTGTGGATTTGCCTATTCTGGACATTTCATGGAAATGAAATCATAGGATGTGTGGCCAGCTGTGTCTGACTTCTTTCACCGAGCATGGCTGCTGAGGTTCATCCATTCTCCAGTATGTGTCGGTGCTTCACCGTTTATGGACCATAATATGCCTTGGTGTGCATGCGCACACTCTGTTGGTCCATTCATCTACTGATGGACAGTGGGCTGTCTCCACCTTTTGGCCCCCATGAGGAGTACCACTGTGAGCACTGGTGATTTCACCTGTTGACGTGTGCTCCGCGTCTGGCTACTGGACAAGCAAGGAAGGCGCTTGGCTGCTGTCTTCCCCTTTCCTGCTATGCTGTCATTTTCAGTGTCACTGGCTGGCTCCTACAGGGACGAAGGCGGCTAGGGAAGGGCCAGTAGGACTTCTGGGCTGCTCCTGCTTCCTGGAGGTCTGTCGCATCCTTCTGTGGCTCCAGCCTGTCCGGGAGCCAGTGTCCCGCTCGTCTGTGCCTCACTGGGACCTGTGCACACAGGCTGGCCAGGCCTGCTGCACATGCGTGTCACTGGTGTGTTGGTTCCATTGTCCCACCAGACTTCACTTGCTAGCACATGTTCAGAGGTGAAGTTAAGGATTTCAAGGCAGAACAGCCGAATGTTGAACCAAGCTTAGGCACACGTGGCTGTGTGGGCTGCTGGCATGAAGCAGTGACACCTGGAGCCCCTGGTTTTCCAGCTCTCTTGGCTGCCTCTGGGGTCCCAGAGACCCTCTGTCCCTGGACCCTCCTCCCCAGCTCTGCTCTAACCCTGATGTCTCAGGTCCAACAGTGGCTAGTCCCTGCCACAGCCTGTCCCCCCTCCTAGCTGGCTCAGCTCCTCCTGATCCACACCTCTGCCCTCACATGTCTTGGGGCTCCAGGCTCCTGCCTCTCCCTTTTTCCCCAGCCACCCCACCCCCTGCCTGGCCAGTGGCCATCTTCTGATGATTTCACTCTTTGGAGTCCCCAAGCTCCTGAGTTCAGAGTCTGCCAGGCCCCGGGGACATGACTTCCATCACACACCCATCAACACTGTCCTGATTCCGCCAGAGACTCTTCCAGGACTTCCACCTGCTCTCAGGGTCCTGGAGTCCCCACCTCCCACTCTCAGCAGCAAATGGCCTGCCTTGACTTCAGAGAGGAGGGCGAGGCTGTCAGTAAGGCTGTGCCTATCTTCTGGCATCGGAACACCTGGGGCTCCTCAGCCCTCTGGTTTCGGGGGATGGCCTTTCTCCTGCCTGGGCAGGGCACCCAGCTCGAGGCTGCTTCCAATCCCACCAGCACCTCCAGTAAGGCAGGCCCAGCTCCATCCTCCTTTCTGTGATCCTTTATTTCCTTCATTACTATTATTTCTGGAAGAAAGGCCACAGGCACGCAAGGGTGCCACACACAGTGCCGGCAGGGGGCAGCGTTCCCGCTTGGCCCTGACCCCCGTTCTCATTCCTGGAGGTTGATTTCCTGCTCTCCTCAGAGACAGTCAAGCGTGTTTAGGTATGGATGTACAGGTCCATTCCCCTTAGAAATGCGACTTATGTGCACACTGTCTCCCCCTCCTTTTTTTTTCCGCTTGGAGATTATCCGTTTAATGACACCGTCTGCTTCTGAATGGCGGCTTAGTCCCCTCGGTATGGATGTGTCCTCGTATTTGCTGGTCTCCTATTGATGGATATTTAGGTTGTTTCTGATTCTCTGCTACCACAGAAGACCCTGGCTTTGGGCATGCGGGCAGAGAGCTCTGCAGGGTACCAGTGTAGAGGCGGAGCTGCTGGGCCAAACGGTCCGAGTTTCATCCACATGGGAGGCCCTGCCCAATTGTCCTCCAAGCATCTGGCCCGATTCCCAGTCCCTGCTGGCACGCCCAGGTGTGCAGGGCCCCCGACACCTCAGGAGCAGTCACGCTCATCCTGCCCCCTGGGTAGCTAGTCCGATGGGTAGCAGTGGAGGCTTTCATTTTTACTTTTTATTATGAGAATTTCAAGCACACAGCAAGTAAGAACAGTCCAGTAAGTACTCACAGACTGATGGTCTAGACTTGTCAACGTTTTGCCAGACTTGTGTTACTATCATTGTGCTGTTGTTGAAGTTTAAATCTGAAACATCATGTTGTTTCAACACCCTCTACTTTTTTTTTTTTTTTTAAAGATGGGGTTTCACCATGTTGGCCAGGCTGGTCTTGAACTCCTGACCTCAGGTGACCCACCCACCTCAGCCTCTCAAAGTGCTAGGATTATAGGCATGAGCCATGGCGCCCAGCTCTACTTTCTTTTTTTGAGACAGAGTCTCGCTGTCACCCAGGCTGGAGTGCAGTGGTGCGATCTCAGCTCACTGCAACCTCCGTCTTCTGGGTTCAAGCAGTTCTTTCTGCCTCAGCCTCCTGGGTAGCTGGGATTACAGGCTCCCATCGCCACACCCAACTAGCTTTTATATATATATATTTTTTTTTTTTTTTTGAGACGGAGTTTCACTCTTGTTACCCAGGCTGGAGTGCAATGGCGCGATCTCGGCCCACTGCAACCTCCGCCTCCCGGGTTCAGGCAATTCTCCTGCCTCAACCTCCTGAGTAGCTGGGATTACAGGCATGCGCCACCATGCCCAGCTAATGTTTTTTTTTGTATTTTTAGTAGAGACGGGGTTTCACCATGTTGACCAGGATGGTCTCGATCTCTTGACCTCGTGATCCACCCGCCTCGGCCTCCCAAAGTGCTGGGATTACAGGCTTGAGCCACCGCGCCCGGCTAGTTTTTATATTTTTTTAGTAGAGATGGGGTTTTGCCATGTTGGCCAGGCTGGTCTTGAACTCCTGACATCAGGTGATCTGCCCGCCTTGGCCTCCCAGAGTGCTGGGATTACAGGTGTGAGCCACAGTGCCCGGCCAATCCCCTGCTACTTTCATACGAAGTTGGAAATCCCAGGGCCAGTTTCCTATAGATAAAATTCTTCTGTGTGTAAAGTAACTGCTAGTTCTGTGAGTTCAGGTGGGCTGGGTCTTTCCTTCTCGGTGGTGTCCGGCTTTTGCAGTCCTTCAAACCGCCCCTGCATCCCAGCTCCCCCAGCCTCCTCTTTCCCACCCCTCTACAGTCCTCACTCCTCAGGGAATGTCCATGGCACTACCACTGTCCTTTCTCTGCTCTCCCCCGCCCTCATCCTGTGGGATGCATCTGCCCACAGCCCCCGAGCCCACTGCCCTGGCCCCCATGCCTGCACCCCTGGCAGCAGCTCCCAGGCACACCCAGGGCCCTGCCTGGTCCCGGGCATGCCCATCTGTTCAGCCTTCAGAGGCCTTGGAGCCACATCTGCCCTCTGTTGCCAATGCAAAGCTCGGCCTCCTCCCAAGTCTCCTTTCCCTGGGAATGGCTCCCCACAAGCCAGAGACCTGGAGGGCCTCCCTTTTTTGTGTCCCCATCCAATCAGTCACCAAGAGGTTGGGCCATTGATAGATGCCCCTACAAAACCCCCTTGGGTTTGTTCCTGTCAGTTCTTGTAGGCTGCTACCCCAGGATGGGCAGTAGTGGCACTGATCACCGCAACAGCCCCCTTAACACATCTGTCTGCAGACGACCTGGTTTGTTCATGAGATGTCCTGTTTACTGGCCTCCTCCGGAGCACAGGACCCCTCTCGTCTTCTTGCTGAGCAGCACGTTCCCAGCATCTGGGGCATTAGCCTTTAATGGGAAGGAAGGGAGGGAAGAAGGGAGGAAGGGAGGGAGGTAGGAGGAGAGGGAGGGAGGGAAGCTTACTCCGTCCTCACCTGTAAAATGGGGTAATAATGAGACTCTACTCCAACTACCAGAGGGAGCTGCGGCCCAGGGGCCCAGGAGGGAACACACGTTCTGTGTGGCTGGTGGAGAGTGGGGAACGGGGGAGGAGTGAGAGGCACTGGCAGGACAAGGAGTTCGGGGCAGGTGCACAGCTGCCCTTAGAGCCCTGAGGGCCAAATGGAGAAGCCAGAGGGTTCCAGGAATGCTGTTTCTCCAGGCTCGCCAGCCCCAGAGGCAAGGGACATAGGGTTCTTCTGGCGCCCAGGGGAAGGCTGGCCCCTGGCTTGCCTGGCTCCAGCCCATCGTCTTCCAAGATGCACAGGCTCTTTCGCTCCCCAGCAGCTCCTGTATGCCCAGGATGGATGGGGAACCGAGGCCCGGGCTGTGGTCATCTGGAGCACACTGTCCCCACTGCTGGTCCTGTGGGGTAAAGGTTTTCTCCAAATTCTGAGTAGAGACAGGGACGGAGGAGGCCATGCTATTCCACAGGTGTGTTCCAGTCTTGTGGTGACTGCCACAGGCCCTGGGTACATGACCTGCCTTTGGCCCTTGCAATCAGAGTCACGGCCTCTGGGTGAAGGCCTCGCGCTTGCCTTCAGGGTCACAACCCTGGTGCAGGTCCAACCCCTCAGACTTTGTCATCAGAGTCAGGACTCCTGGGTGAATGTCCTGTCCTTGTCATTGGGGTCATGACCTCTGG